ACACCCACTTCCAAAAGCAATACAGCCCGGGTCCATTCACCAGCTGTGTTATTTGGACTTCAACTTTTTAAGTTGTAAGCTAAATCAATCTCTTTTCTTTATAAGTTACAAGCTTCAGGTATTTTGTTATAATAACAAAATAACCGGATTAATACTGATGGGTAAACTGGCCCTCTGAAGTTCCTGGAAAGCATCAAGTTTGGAGATGCAAATGCTCTTTGAGTTGGCCAGGGTACACTTAAATGGTTACATTTACAAGAACAGGAACAGTGACGGATGCTGGAGCACCTACTTTGTAGCAAGCACTGTTGTAAGCACTAAGAAGAGCCCCCACACGCAGCCCCAAACCAAGCTCCTCACAGGGCTGTCCTTGGTGGAGCCAGATAACATGACTTGATCTGTGATATCCAATCCAAATTGGTTGTTGCCCTGTTGTGTGTGCTCTTTGCCTACTAACAGGGATGTGTAACAGATGTCTATAGGAGAAGGCTGCTCCTGCTTCCTCTTCTTTTTAAATGCTATCTAAAATCTAACTGCAAAAGCAAAATACCAAAATAGCCAAGTAAACACATGGTCACCCATCCATTCACCCATATATCAAGAAAGCCCTCCGGGGGTGGATAATTCTGGCTGGCCATCCCCCACTGCCATCTGGGACAAGGGCTGTGGTACGGTGGCATCTGGAGAGTCGGTGCCTATGAGAGGGCACAAGACAGAACGAGAAAGACAAAGCCACCGGTCAACCTGATGATGTGTGGTAAAATGGAGATTGCCCTCTGCTCGGAGTAACTGAAGAACTCCTGCACATCAAAACCAAGCTCTGCTTGATTTGGAGCAGCATTCTGAGCCTGGAACTCTAACCAACATCAGGTTAACTCCTGCAACTGGGGTCTTTTCTTTGTGTTTGCTGCCTCACAGTCTTTTCTTGGCACTGAAAAGGATTTCATCAAGAGAATCTTCGCTGTGACGTTATCTTATTGAGAACCAGGCTGGACTCTATCTGGTGGGGCTCCTTGCAGCCAATGTTTTGTTTTGACCAGAACATGTTTTGACCAGAACATAGTTTGAGCATGTCTAGCTGTCAGCCTGAAATCCTAGGGATCACATTGAAGGGTGCTCTTTGCGTGAGATATAAAGAGCATCTTTAGAGATTATTAGAACGCGAATCGATGAGTAGTCTTCAGGGCATCGCTGTTGCCTCCGTCCTCACCCGCAAGGTGAGAGATGGGGCAGGAAAGAGACATTGTGTTGACAAAATGGCTCTGGCTCATGTGTTAGCTGGTTTCCCACTGCTGAGACAAAATACCCAGAGGAATCAAGCCGAAGTGGGAGAGGTTGATTTGTGACTCATGGTTTCACAGATTTCATTTTGAGGCATCTGGCTCATTCTTTGGGACAGAGGTGAGGTGGGATCACGGTAATGAGAGCATGTGGCAGCGAGGAATAGGGGAAATGAGAGGAGGGGGAGGGAGGAAGGGAGAGAGAGAGAGAGAGAGAGAGAGAGAGAGAGAGAGAGAGAGAGAGAGAGAGAGCAAGCAGATCTTTTCTTTTGGGCCACCAACTACTGGCTCCCAAATCATAACACAGAGACTTAATATTAGTTTTGAACACTGGCCTAG